ATGAGTTTTAGAACTCCACCTTCAACTATGTACTTGCACCCCAGAGATTCCAAGGTGCCCAAGGATATCAGATTGCGTTTCAAATCAGGAATATACCGAACATTGGTAAGAGTCCTGATAACATTATCATGAGTTTTCATTTGAACACTTCCAATTCTACTAACCTTGCATTGGGTATCATTACCCAGCAAGACAACTTCACCATTAACCGATTTCAGAGAGACGAACCAGTCTTTGTGAGGACACGTGGAATGTACAACCAGAGTCCAGAACCCACTCGATTTCGCTCCGTTTGCAACCGGAGCTAACAGATAACATAACATCGCCTTCTGAATCACTTCCAACAACACTAGCTTCAACAGACTTTTTTTTTCTCTCTCTTGCTTGTTTTTCAACTTGAAGCATTCAGTCACATCATGACCATGCTTCTTGCAGTACTTACAGGATTTGTTGGACTTACGTCCTTTGGACTTGGATCTAGAATTTTTATTGCTACTCCCTGATTCAAGTGAGCAACCCCTTACAGTCAAGCCTTCACCTTTGTCCTCAGACTTAATTTCAAAGTCAAACTTTTCTTTGGACAATAGGTTTGAGTGTTTGACTTAACATTGTCGAAAGTAAGGGTATCACTACTATTACCATACAACATAATTTCTTTGAGAAGCAAGCAATAAAACAGCACGATTCTCATCGTCAATTATGACATCAATATTTTCCAAGTCCAATAAAATAGAATTGAATTCATCCAAGTGAGATTTAATAGAAATATCTTCCGTCATACGGATTGTGTACAGTCGCTCCTTCAGGCGTAGCGTGTTCGCCAGTGTTTTGGCCGTGTAAAACGTATCCAGCTTGGACCATAAATCTTACGTAGTCGTCTCACTTACTACCTCACGTAGAACCTCTTAAGACAGACACAAAAGAATAGTTGAACGTGCCTTGTCATCCAAATCTTCCCAATCTTCATCTGTCATTGTAGCCGGTTTCTTCTTCTTCCCAGCTAGCGCTTTCTTCAAACCGTTCTGGGTTAGAACGGCTTCCATCTGAACCTTCCAGATAGAAAAGCTAATTTTCCCGTCGAACTTCTCGATATCGAACTTGGTAACAGTTGACATCTTTGAAAATAACTCTCAATTAAACCGCTCTGGTACCGCTTGTTAGGAATATAGTGGAATTATGCGGAAGCAAAGAATCGAAAATTGAGAATTATAGAAGTTAAATAATAGAAATAGGGAAAAATATAAAATGACAAAATTAGGAAATTGATGAATTGGGAAATATATATAAAAAATATATATATATATTAATCTCTAAAAAAGAATTACACAAGAAAAAAAATTATATATATATATATATATATATATATATATATATATATATATATATACACACGTGAGGAATTAAAAGAAAGCAAAGGAAGATGAATTGAATTACAATTGATGCAATTGAAACAATGAATGCATTAGCTATTTATATATACATTAAAAAGTAGAGACAAATGCGGTGAATGCAAGAAGCCCCAAGGAGTTCGGTGAAGACGTGAAACATGCAGCATGCGACGTGTGAGGGTTGTGAATGACATGGTCTGCATGAATTTGGGCCACAAATTATTATTGTTTAACAGAGTGAAATTAGGAAAGACCTAGTGTGAAGGCAAAACATGCACAAGCAAGGCAATGACATGTCCATGCATAAAGTAGAGGCGCGACCTACCTTCTGCACAGGCACATCATGCCCGTGCCTTGCCAATGCATATTATGTTATTGATGAATTGAATGTTCTTGTGTTTTGTTCATTTATTATATATGAGTAAATAGAGTAGTTTAGGGGTTGGACAATGGTGTTTATTGTGCTTGATGCAAATATAATACTTATTTCATTCAAGGGGTTTGTTGGTCCCGGTAGGGTCGAAAGAGAGTCTAGAGAGGGTGGGGGGGGGGGGGGGACTCTAATCGTTTTTTGGATTATCTCCTTTCGGAGTTATGCACAATGGAAATTTTATCTTTGTTTTAAGATGAACTTTGCACGGTTTCGTTATGAAGGTTTAAGATGTGGTCAATATGCATGCAATGCTAGATAGATATTTGCACGAAAAGTAAAGAGAGATAGAGAGAGGAATTTTTATAGTGGTTCGGCTATCAACAAAGCCTACTACACTCTTCTTTTACAACTTGTGAAAAGGTTTGCACTATCACTCCTAGTACAAACTACTCAAGCTAGCTTCCTTGATCACTAAGCTGGACAGCTACTTGAAAGGTTTTTTCAACTCCTAGAGTTTACTCCGCCTCTATCAACTTCTTCTTCAGAGTTGAGTGTTGGATGAATTTGATGTGTTTCTCCAACAGCTTGAAGTCTTGACTTGATGATTGGATGGATTTTCTTATAAAGATGCAAGACTTCCTTGATGATTGTGAAGAATAAATCTGGATGAGCTTCTTTGAAAACTTCACAATCACACACACTAGTTTTTGAAAAGCTTTTTAGATGAACTTGTTTGAAGAGCTTTTCTTAGATAAAATCAGTTGAACAACCAGCCCCTTCTTCAGTTGTGAAGAGAGGTATTTATAGGTGAGGAAAAATTCATCCGTTGGAGGGAGATGAAATTTCAAACCTATTAACCAACATTTATTAACCATTGGGCATGGAGCATTTATTGCGGCTGTACTGTGTAGCCGTTGGTGTCAAAAAGCATTGTGGCTTTTATCATTTTCTTCTTACAAGAAGTACTAATCATTTAATGCTCCTTGTTTTTGTGAATATCATTCCTAGGACTTCTTTTGTCTAGGATGATTGCCCAACTGCGAGACATAGACAACATTCTCTTTACTCGTGTATTAAATTTGTCTATTTAAGTCTGACTTAGACTTAATGGTCTCAGGAGAGTCACACGAAAGATTGTCTTTATCTTTCGTTGTCTTCGATGAACAAATGACTTTCCTTAGCATTTGATATTTACACGAGAGCTAGACCCTTCCATCTTTCGGTCTATGTTGTTCTCTCGGTTTTCTCTTCTTCTTCACTTCTTCTTGTAGACCTAAACTACTGAATACAACTCAGATTTGTGTATGTATGTTACTTAACCGAATCACATGGTGAGTTGCTATTGCTTTTGTCTGATACGAAACTTCTAAGATTAAGAAACCAAAAAGAGGGGTCTACGATCCTAGCAAGATTGGTATCATCAAAATCTAAGTACACTTGTTCCTAACCGGGTGAAAACCAACCTAGGGTTTTTGTTCTTGTGAGATGTTTTGTGTGTTAGTGTTGATAGGTTTGTGCATAACCTTATCTATACTTGTCTAGTATAGGATTTTGGCAACCGAATGAGCAAGGCTTCCACGGGTTATTGCATCCACTCGTCTCTCAACCGTCAATATTCCTTAGACATCTTACGACCTTCAGGTTCACTTACGAGAGTAGGGAATGTTGAAAGTCTAGATCGACTACTCGTGTTTATTGAAAGGGATTAGTAACGTCACGAGAGTGAAACAACCCCTATATTCAGAATTGGCCTAACATTGAAACACAAGAGTGACGTGTTAGTCAACCATAAGAGATGAATGGTAATCTTGAAAAAGTTAGGAAAAAAAATACATTCTCCTCAATGATATGCATGGCATTTTGTAATATATATATATATATATATATATATATATATATATATATATATATATATATATATATATATCCAAACAAATGAAAGCATCATGAATTCCACATATCTCAAACTTTCTCCTTAAAAATTGAACTGAACAGCGCAGCAATATAATAATTAATAAATCTAGAGTAATAGACATTTTTGGTCCTAGACTTATAGTGGCACGGACAATTTTAGTCCTCTTTAAAAAAATCAGACAATTTGTGGACACTCTTATTATGACGAGGACAATTTTGGTTCAACGTCTATTAATCTCGTTAGTTGACCGTCAAATGAGGGGCATTTGTGTCAATTTAACAAAACTCAATCCAATTTTATTCCCCAAATTCAGTCTTGTATTTGTTCTCCAATCGGAAAAGTCGTAGCCCTAGATATGGCGATAATCAGAAGAACAAGGCCAAATGTGGCCAAGGCTAGGGTAGAAATTGATGCATCTAAGCTTGTTATTGACCGAATTTGGGGAAGAAGGAGGGGAATCGAGAGGTTTCTGGCTGAGATTTGTGGTGGAAAGATAATCGTGCGGTGTACTGTGTAGGAGGAAGCAGAGTGAATTTTCTGGATGGAGGAGAAGGGCGAGCGGACAAGAGTGGTGGCGGCGGCGGTCACAGAGATAGGTCATCAGAGGAGGAGGTGAGAAGAGCGGTCACAGAGATAGGTCATCGGCGGTCACAAGATTCCTTTGTAGACAGTCCCGACGGCGTCGTGCCCGATGATCCGGCTGGGATTGAACGCCTTGGTTGCTGATGTCTGCCCCCAAAGTCTCTGGTTTTGTCACACTCTTGAGCTTTTTGCAATATAGCTACATGAATAGGAACCCGGCGAGGCATAAAAAGAACGCGCCGGCGGTGACCACTCCGACGACTGTGCCGGGGCCTTCCTTGCACAGCTGGCTACGACATTTCTCAGGCCGTGCGGGTGTAGCGTTGGACACCGGAGGAACGGTGGTTGGCGGCAGGGATTTAGCAATGTTCCAGTTAAAATATGAGGTGAAACTCCACCACTCAACGCCGTGGACCTCCGTGCTTCCCTGAATCGACCCAGAGAATCCGACGAACGTGAACTCGTTCACATGGACGTTTAAGTTGAGTGGGACGGATAAAAGTGGAGCTTTGGGCTTGAGATTGGAATGGGAGGTATGCAGAAAAGACGAAATTACCCCTCTCTAACGAGCCATCTAACGGGAATATTGACGGAGGACCATAATTGTCCTCGACACAATAAAAGTGTCTACAAATTGTCTGATTTTTTTTAAAGAGGACTAAAATTGTCCATGCCACTAAAGTCTAGGACCAAAAATGTCTTTTACTCATAAATCTATTCTACAAAATAACATGCGGTATTATACAGAATAACATTCTATTGTCGATGTATTTCACGAACTAAACTTAAAGTTAGGAAAAAATACATTGTCCTGAATAATATGCATGGCATTTTGTAATCTATCCAAACAAATGAAACGATCATGAATTCCACATATCTCAAACTTTCTCCACACCTGCGGCGTTCTTCCAAACGCAGTAACGAAAATCAAGAAAGTCTCACCCACTTGAATCAGCATCACAATCTCCCCATTACACTTCCCTGTGAAGTCCATGGAACAAGCTTTTCTTATCATTTCTCTATCTTCCAATGGAATGGGAATCATATATTTCTCCCATTCCATTGATTTCTCCAAAGCCCATATCTCCACTCTGCTCCATTGATGATCAACAGTAACGGCGGCTAGCCGACCGGCCACCTCAATCCACGGCGACCTCAAAACCGAGGAGGTACGATGTCGGAGTTCACACGGAAAAGGTAACGTGCGAAACTCCTCAGCTCCAACGTTAAACGCAATTATTTCCCTTTTAACGGTCCAGTTTATCAAGTAGATAACGCCGTCAATGTGAAGACTGGTTTCTGGATAGTTAGGGACGGCGGCGGAGGAGACGATGATCTCCCTCCATGATTCATCCTCTCCAAGAGTCAAAACCCAGTGCTTCTTATCGCCACGGCCATGGATGCAACACAGTTCCGACATGAAAACCTTGTACTTTTTCGAAACGGAATCGAAACCCAAGACCGCGCTGGCGAAGTTTTGCGAGGTGGATGGGCGGACAGGATGGGTTCTTGGCAGAGAAACATGTTGTCTTATACTAGGGTTGCAAATCGCGGCGTCTCCGTCGTCGTTGGCCAGACAAATCAGGCCTTTAGTACACCTGAAATCAATCCACATAATTAATGCCTTAATATTATCAAGTAATTGTTATTTTCGTCTATAGCTTTTGTCTATGTTAGTATTTTGTCCTTCAACATTTATGCTTTGTTTTGTAGAGTTTATTTTAGAGCTTATAGCTTATCTTAAGATACAAATAAAATATAATTTTTATTTGATAAGGTTTCAAAATAAGCTAGTAGCTACTAGCTTTTAGCTTGAAACTAACTTTTAAGCAATGTATGTCAAATAGAGCTTTTTTTTTTTTTTTTTACCTAATTCTTTTGGTAATTATTATTTTTATCCCTAATTATTATTGTGTAAAATGTCTAACAATTACTTAGGGATTAAGGATGAAAAATAACAATTATCTAAAAATTAGGGATGAAAAGAATAACCATAATAAAAGTTTAAGGATGAAATACCAGCACAGACAAGAACATAGTCAAAAATTACAATCACTAAATTGTAATTTCTACTATATAAAATATATTATACTGGAAAATCTGATACGGAGTAGTTAGAATGCATACCTTAAATGAAGCAGATTGTGAAAACATTGCCGGTCCATATACCGGACACGGTGGGCTTGGAGCTTTCCATGAGTTTCTTGGGTCAGATTTGCAGTGTAAAAAATTTGTTGATATGTTTTGGATGGAACACGAAAGAGGATGCTTGTCCCGGAACAGGTTAAGGATCGATTTCGGTGCACATCAGCGAAAAACGAGTTATTTATAAGAGAATAAAAGAATTTAGAAACACACCTGAATCGTACTATAGACTTAACGGGAAGTCTAGTGAAAATTTCGTAAAGAATGTCTTGTGGAAGGGAAGAAGTTGCAGAGTTGATGATAGAAGTTGAAGTATTCATGTCTTTTCTTGGGTAGTATTTCTAGAATTTTAAGAAGGATTATTGTTGATCTTCTGCAAATCAATCGAGATTGGTAATTATATTAGACTTAGGCAACAACAATTGCCTAAAAATTAGGTCATTAAAAAACGATTTAAGGACACTAAACATAAGTAAATTAGTACACGAATTTTGTTTGGTCTTTTACTCAAAAGGTTTTAATAATTGCTTTTGTAGTAAAACACTTAAAACTTATCGCCTTTGATGATAGGTTTAACGTGAAGTATACAGAGTTGGTTTATATGGATTAAAACACCACGCCAAATAAAATTGTGGACTAGGGTCTACTACCTTGCATGGTGTACCACGGTCCAAAATAACTTCGTTTTACACTACTGGAAATTATGGAATTTCCGACCACCTGAAAGTGATCTTAAATTAAGCTGAAAACCTTGTTCCGATCACTTTTGGTATCCGAAAAAATCTTTGTTGCTATTTCCGACCACTTTTTGGTATCAACTTTATTTAAGATCATTTTCAGGTGGTCGGAAATTCCATAATTTCCAGTAGTGTTATATAGTTTTCATTACTGTATTTTATTTAATAACATTATCTGCACTTATTTAATAACATTATCATTTACTATTTTAAGCTAAATAAGATATAAGCTCTATTTGGTAGCGTTTCAAAATAAGTTGGTAGCGGTTCATTTATTTATGATCGGACGATTGGAGTTAGAACTTCAAGGAGTTTTTGGGTGGTGAATAGTTGCGAAAGAAGATTAATAAAAAGGAATAAGGTTCAAATTGGCCACTGAACGTAACCTAAAAATGCAATTAGGCCACTGAACGAAAAAAAAGTGCAATTAGGCCACTGAACACTCCAAAAATGTGCAATTTCACCTGATAGCAGGTTACCCTCAATTTTAGCAGGTTATCTGCTTACGTGGCAGCTGAGTTGGCATTTTAAATAAATTTTAATTAATTTTTAATAAATTTTAATAATAAATTTTTTATTAAAAAATTTTTTTTAAAAATAAAAACGACTTTATTTTATTTTTTATTAAATTTTTTTCAATTTTTTATAAAATTTATTATTCAAATTAATTATTAAAAATTATTTAAAAATTATTAAAAATGCCAACTTAGCTGCCACGTAAGCAGGTAACCTGCTAAAATTGATGGTAACCTGCTATCCGGTAAAATTGCATACGTTTGGAGAGTCCAATGGCCTAATTGCACATTTTTTGAGTGTTCAATGGCCTAATTGCACTTTTTTTTTCGTTCAGTGGCCTAATTGCATTTTCAGGTTACGTTCAGTGGCCAATTTGAACCTTATTCCTAATAAAAATATACTTTAAGGAGTTGTTGGGTGGTGAATAGTTGCAGAAGAAGATTAATAAAAATATTCAAGAAGAAAAAATGCCAAAAGGGTTTAATTGGGAAGGGTAATTAAAAGATGTCATTTATTTAAAATAATAAGGATTAAGATGAAAAAAATTTAAGAAGCTCATAGTTTATTTTTGAAGGTAGCTTTTCAAAATAAATTCTTATTTTAAACTACTAGCTTATTTTAGAAATATTACCAAATAGAACTTATAACTAAGTTAAAATAAGTTATAAGCTAAATAAGCTCTGCTAAACAGAACCTTAAACTTACTTTTTTAACTTTTTAAGCGATGTATGTCAAACGAAGCCTACTCTTTTTTGTTTTATACTTAATTCTTGTGGTAGCTGTTATTTTTATCCCTAATTATTGTGTAAAATGTCTAACAATTACCCATGAATTAAGGCTGAAAATAACCATTATCTAAAAATTAGGGATGAAAAGAATAACCATGATAAAAGTTTAAGGATGAAATACCAGCACAGACAAGAACATAGACAAATTACAAATACCGGAAAATATATTATAGTTAGCATACCTTAAATGAAGCAGATTGTGAAAACATTGTTGGTCCATATACCCGAGACGGTGGGCTTGGAGCTTTCCATGGTTTTCTTTAGTCAGATTTATAGTGTAAAAGATTTGTTGATATGTTTTGGATGGAAGACGTAATAGGATGCTTGTCTCGGGAAAGGTTAAGGATCGGTTGCAGTGCACATCAGCGAAAAACGGGTTATTTATAAGAGAATAAAAGAATTTAGAAACGCACTTGAATCATACTATAGACTTAATGGGAAGTCTAGTGAAAATTTTGTAAAGAATTTCTTGTGAAAGGGAAGTTGCAGAGTTGATAGATGTTGAAGCATTATTCATGTCTTAGTATTTCAAGAATTTTAAGAAGATTATTGTTGATCTTCTGCAAATCAATCGAGAGTGGTAATTATATTAGACTTAGGAAACAATAATCGCCTAAAAATTAGTGCATTAAAAAACGATTATTTAAGGACACTAAACATAAGGAAATTAGTACTCGAATTTTTTGGTCTTTTACTTAAAGTCACAATTTGTTTGGCCTTTTACTTATAAAAGGTTTTAATAATTGCTTTTGCAGTAAAACACTAAAACTTATCGCCTTTGATGATAGCTTTAACGTGAAGTATACAGAGTTTTTTTTTTTTTTTTTTTTTGAAAGGAAAGGATATCATTAAAATCAAGAGATCAGATTAAGTGTTCAATACAAGAAGGAATAGTAGAAAACCAATTAAAATGACTAATATGAGAACTAGCAGCTCTAGCCAACACATATGAGCAAGCTTATTCACTGATGGATTAACATAATGGATTAAGAAACCACGACAAATTATATTGTGGACTAAGGTCCACTATCTTGCATGGTGAATCGCGGTTCAAAATAACTTCATTTTTTATTATATCTTCTTTTATTCTTCTTTCCGATCTATTATTATGTATTATTAATAGGCAAATTGTACCGTGTACCACGGTCCATAATGTATTGTGGTTCAAGCATCAAAATCGGGTCTTTTTTTAATGAAAAGAAAAGACATCTGTTCCTCGTCGGAGGAGTAAGCTAAGGCTCATCATAACCCACCACTTTCACATGCCTAAAAAATGGAAACCTACACAACTTTCATTCTAGGGTGGGACAAAACCTTCCAACGAGTTTAGTCACTTTTGACAACTCTATCATGTATATTATAAATGATTATATTTATATGATGATATATTGTGGAACACGATCATCACTAGTGTCTAGACCGGATCTAGATAGAAAACTTAAAAATTATAAGTAAATAAATAAGGAGTATTTGTCATTTGATACCTAGAGAAGATCTCAAAAAGGGTCACACATGTCGTCCGGAGACTAGGAAGCTAAGCATCACCGACCTCCATCGCCCTCCGGCGAGCCCCCCTTTCTAACTGAATTCTTTGAATCCGGCAAGAAAATAAAGCACAAACCAAACCGTTTCTTCACTGCATCAACCGTTGTGTATATATATATATATATATATATATATATATATATATATATATATATATGTATGTATGTATGTGGCATGTAAATTTGTTCTTCGGAATATTACTATTTGTATCTTTTTGGTAATTATTTATTTGGGAATGGTGTTGTTGGGGTTGTAAGAGTGGGTGATTAAAGTTGAGTGGATGAAGGTAATCAATTAATGTGTAGAAATGGAAAAAGGTTTTGAGGGAATTTGATACTTATTGTCGTGAGTTTTATTCGGTGTCCAGTCCAGATGAATGCATGCATGTGAAGCATTGTATCGATTCCCTGTAAACTTCTGTTGACACCAGTAATTTAAAGAAGGGAAAATGCTATTTTGCTTGACTAAACAAATCACTTTGAAACTAAAGATGATTCTTAACTCGAAAAGCAATATCATTATATATATATATATATATATATATATATATATATATATATATATATATAGAATAACGCTCATATGTGATCATGTTGTTAGGTGTGGTCGTGTGGTGGAATTTCATAATACACTAACAATGTTAACAACATGCACCAACAGTGTAAGAGAAACACAGCACAATGAAATTCAAAAAAAATACCAAAAAATACACAACAGACCCAAAAAATACACCATATCACCAACCCCAATGGTGTATTTCCGAACACTGTATGGTGTTTTTACTCACACCTAATGGTGTGTTGTTGGTGATGCGTACCTAATTTGTGTGCGTTTTTTGTGGTGCATTTCCTGACGTTGATGGTGTATATCTTACTTAATTATTGGTGTATTCTGAAATTCCGCCACACGACCACACCTAACAACATGACCACATGTGATCACCCCTATATATATATATATATATATATATATATATATATATATATATATAATATTACGGATCATATGCGCACAAATTATTATGTGGATCCGGGTTCAAAAATACAGAATTTATATACTGAATGTTCACAATTTACATATTGAATGTTCACAATTTTATATACTAAATGTTCACAAATGTTATGATAAGGACATACTAATGATGTTTTGGAGCTCTGACATCATCAAAATTACTAATCCCTTCACAATTATCCAAAACCAGCTTCTCAAGATTAGGAATACTATAAACAAACTAATGAAGTGAGACCAGGAAATCTACTACAAGCATTTCTTGGCAAATCATCAAGATTTAAATAGTGGACAATCAATTGCTTAATCGTTCGGCACAACACTATACAAGATAGCAGCTTATATGAGTTACATCCACCGGAAACAACGAGCTGAGCACCATTAAGTTCTTGCAAAAAAGATTTTAGCATTCCAGTGAATCTTGTAATTAGAGCGCATATTTTTTGCCTTCAAGTACACACTTTTTAACCTTCGAGTGCATGGTTTAGTATCTACAAGTACATAATTAAACTTTTTTGGAATTTTCCCTTTTATTTTATTTTTTTCCCCTTTGCCTTGTAGTGATGAACTTTATGCCTTCAAATGCTCAATGTCAAGCCTACAAGTGCACGTTTCTCGCTAATATGTATTAGAAAACAAAAAAAAAAAAAGAAAATAGCATTCCAGTAATCATTTTGTACTTAGAGTGCACATTTAGTGGTCTTCGAGTGCATGATTTCGTATCTACAATAGCATAATTAAAATTTTCTCGAATTTTTCCTTTTATTCTATTTTTTCCCCTTTGCCTTGTAGTGTTGAATTTTATGCCTTCAAGCGATCAATTTCAAGCCAACAAGTGTATGTTAATTTGTCTTGCTAATATGTATTAGAAAACATTAAAAAAAAAATAGCATTCACGTAAATCTTTTTGTACGTAGAGTGCATATTTTTAGCCTTCAAGTACATATTGTGTAGCCTTCGAGTGCATGATTTATTGTCTACAAGTGCATAATTAAATTTTACATTCCTAGTGTTTCATGAATACCCTTCAAATGCATGTTTCACTTACTACAAGTACATAACTGTGATGAAAATCAATATATTGTATGAATATGATTACAAAAAATGTACAATGTGGATTCCTAATTGAGAGAATACAAGAATGATTGCAATGATCAAACATACCTTCATCCATTATTTTGATCAAATCTGCAATTGAAGTGATTATCTCTTCGCAATTGTTGAATATAATTCGTAAAGACTATATTCGCAATTGCTGGATTCTGAAATTTGAAATTGATTAAATTGTAAAATTGTTCTTTGTTTGTGTGAAGCGAAACAGAGATTGGGGATCAGAACAAGAAGTTTTGTTTTGAAAAGGCAGGTATGTGGCGGTTAACAAGAATAGAATTGGAAAATAATGAAAAAGACTCTATTGCCCTTAGCTTATTAGGGCATCCGAAATTAATTTTGCGCCAATCTATACCGTTTGATCACTGCAAATCCAAAGGCAATTATTCAACCCTATTTTTTAGGCGGCTAATGCTTTGCATGGGATCCCAAATATATATTATATGATTTTGGATCCGGTGCACACCCCCTTGGCAGATGAGCTCGTGAGCACTCTTCTTGGTCGTTGATGGGTTTTTTTTGAACGGTCAGATGGTGTGTTGATGGAATACACGTGTGATTGTTTTAGGGGTTGTTTTGTAATTTTCATTTGGCATTTATTATGTCTACGCATATTAACGGAGTTAATTTGGTAAAGAGAGTAGATAAAATATGAATTTTGTCTTGTTATCTCCGCTGTCTTCTTTCTCGGTCTCTTCCGCTTCCCATCAGCTCTCGTTCCTTCTTCACCCGCATCTTCAACACTTCGCATAATCTCTCCGGCGTACTCAAAGTTGCGGTTTCTTCATGGCTGGTTTAAGCAGGAGGCTGTCCAAGAGGCTTAGGAGAATCTCTTCTGCTTCAAATACCAGTATTATGTTCATCCATTCTTTTATTTTTTGTTCTTTATCCGGTCGCATTTTTGGTTTTCCATGGTGGGGTTTTAACCGGCGTTCTTTACCGGCCAGAGTGGTTGTGGGTTTTTGGATTTTTGTATTTTTATTTTGGTCGTAGTTCCTCTGGGTGCTTTAGTTTTCCGGTATTTTCATCTCGGGTTTAAGGATGGTGGTCGTCGATTCGAGTAGGGGTGGTGGGCGGCGAGTGTGTTGTTGTCGCTGGTCGAATTCTGGGTCTAGGGTTAGGGTTTTCGATTTTTTTTTTTCTAATCGGTTGGGGTATTAATGGGGTCGATGGTGTTTCGTTTATGAGACTGGGAGAATGTCTGCCTGGTTTTTTTTTTTTTTTTTTTTTTTTTTTTTCTGTTGTTCATGGAGGGGGGCGGTGGCGTGGGTGTTAATTGGTGGTGGTTTGTGTGTTTGTGACTGTGACCGTGTGCAATTTAGATTTAAATTGTGGTTGGGGAATTGCTAATGCTTGTTTTGTTGTTGTTTTTTCTTCTTTTTTTTTTTTTTCTTTTCTAATCGGTTGTGGTATTAATGGGGTCGATGGTGCTTCGTTTATGAGACTGTAATGTGTATTTTGTTTTTATTTCATGCAATGTGTATTTTGGTTTTAGTATTTGCTCAATTTTTTTTTATTAGGGGTACGAGGCTTCAAATGTGTGGGTAATTGGCTTGTGGCGGTTTTTTTTTTTTGTTTGTAGTGGTGACATGTTTACTTTTCATGTTTTTTTATGTGTAGGATTTTTTGGCTGTATGTGTCTTCCCTTGTCTTTTTTCCAACCTAGAATGGGGTTTGGGTTTTGGATTTATTGGTGGGGTAAATGCATATGGGTCCAATAGTTTACTGTGATAGTGTCTGGAGTTGTAATATGCATTATGGTTTTCTGTTTCCACTTTTTTCATGACGGGGTGGTGGGTTACTGGTTTTGGGGGCGGTGATTGTTGCGTTGTAGGTGGTCGGTTTGTGCATGTTAGAGGTCAAGTGTGGTCGGGTTTGTCAATGTTGGTTTTATTTCGGTTTTGTACGTATGCGGGTTCCATAACTTGTATTGGTTGTCTGTGTATTTATTTTTGTTGTTTTTTGGGATTTTTGGACTTACCTAATCGGTGGCATAGGTTTGTGCATTGCAATATGTTCTTTTGAGCAGGTAGAGTGTAATGTACAAGCCAATTTGCACTAGTTTTTTTAACGGGGGTTTTCATTTGGGGCACTAGCATTATGTTCCTTTGCGCAGGTTGGTGCGCGTATGATATTCGGTCGGTGCATGCTTTTTAATTTATTTATTATTTATTAGGGGTTCGGGATGGTTCTCGTCTATTGGTGGTGGTTTGTGCGTTGTGTCTGTGACCATGTGCATTTAGATTTAAAGTGTGGTGGGGCAATTGCTAATGATTGTTTTGTTGTTGTTTTTTCTTTTTTAGGTGGGTGCACCACTGTTTTTTTGTTCGTGCGCGTTTTTTGTTTATCGGTCGGGGTTTTCGGGGTTTGCCTTGTTAGTTGTGGTAGTTTGTGCGTAGCAGTGTATTACCGTTTCCACGTTAGGGTGTGGTTTAGTTGATAATTGGCACTATTAGTTTTTTGGGATTTTTGGACTTACGTAATCGGGTGGCATAGGTTTGTGCGTAGCAATATGTTCCTTTGTGCAAGTTAGAGTGTAATGTACAAGCTAAACTGCACTAGTTTTTTTAACGGGGGTTTTCATTTGGCACTAGAAGTATGTTCCTTTGTGCAGGTTGGTGCGCGTATGGTACTCGGTCGGTGCCTGCTTTTTAATTTATTTTTTATTTTTTAGGGGTTCGGGATGGTTCTCGTCTATTGGTGGTGGTTTGTGCGTTTGTGTCTGTGACCATGTGCAATTTAGATTTAAAGTGTGGTTGAGGAATTTCTAATGCTTGTTTTGTTGTTGTTTTTTTCTTTTTTAGGTGGGTGCACCACTGTTTTTTTGTTGGTGCGTGTTTTTTGTTTATCGGTCGGGGTTTTCGGGGTTTGCCTTGGTAGTTGTGGTAGTTTGTGCGTAGCAGTGTAGTACCGTTTCCATGTTAGGGTGTGGTTTAGTTGATAATTGGCACTATAAGTTATATTTTCATGTCTTCT